CCCCCCCCCCAAAAAAAAGACTAGCAAGTTCTCTTGGGGAATTTTCCTCTTTGTAATCTCCCATTCTTAAGTAGTCCTAATGATTCTTCCAGGATGGCAGAAACTAGCAAGTGGCAACCAAACACAGGTGTGAAATTCCTGTACTGCTAGTAGCCTGGCTATGTTGAAAGGACAGTTAACCTTTGCTAGCAATGGCTGAGAAAACTGTTGGCTTTTAAAAAGACATGTGATTTCAATAGCACTGTGCTCATTTAAGAGCCTGAAAACAAGTGCACAGTCTCAACAGATCATCCAAATAAATAAGCTGTCAGCAACTTAACAGCTAATGCAGAAGGGAACCAACTGTGGAATTCACATATAGCTACATATCTCAGTGAATTCTCAAGGTCTTTCCAAATTCTCCAGCATCATTTTGGAATTAGTTCCATCACACTTAAAAAACTGATCTTAAGGGACTGGGAAGGTGGCTCAGTGGTAGAGCACTTGCCTTGCATGCATGAGGCCCTGGGTTCGATTCCTCAGCACCACATAAGCAAAAAGAAAAAAGCTGGAAGTGGCGCTGTGGCTCAAGTGGTAGAGCACTAGTTTTGAGCTGAAGAGCTGAGGGACAACGCCCAGGCCCAGAGTTCAGGCCCCATGACCGGACCCCAAAAACAAACAAACAAACAAAAAAACATCTTAAATAGTCCTGGGAAATAAAATGAGTCCTAATAAATGAACCTGAGGAGGATAGTTTTTTGAGATGCTAGGGAATTGAACATCTAGGAAAGAATACCTAAGGCCTGGTATTATTCACTAAGCTAACGGGCTGGTTAATTTCCTTCATTCTAAATAAGCAGGGTGTTTTATACATAAAGTAAAAACTCAGCATATTCTGAACACTCAACTTTTCCCAGTGTATTAGTTATCCACTGCTATGGAACAATGACAATAAAGCATACATAGTGGCTTAAACAATTGTAAAAATCTTTTTGGCAGTACTGGGGCTTGAACTCAGAGCCTCATATTTGCACATTACCATGTGAACCACTGTGCTAGCCTCTTGTTAGTGTGAAGCTGGTTATTTTAGTAGCACTAGGTTTGAACTCAGGGCCCTGTGCTTGCTCTGCTTGGTTGGTTGGTTTACACTATACCACTTGAGCCATGTCTCTAGCCAGTGGTTCCCCCACCTCCCTCTTTCTGATTTTAGAAATGGGTATCTGCAGACTGATTTCTGCTAGGCTGTCTGTGAACTGAAGATACTTCAATCATGTCAGCCTCAAGTAGTTACAATTACAGGGATGAGCCCTTGGTAGCCAGCTTTAATATTGTGTGTGTGTGTGTGTGTGTGTGTGTGTGTGTACACACATGCACATATGCATGCAAATGCTGGGGTTGATCACAGGGCTTGATCTCTGCCCCTCAGCTTCTATTACTCAAGGCTAGCACAGCTACCAATGTAAGCCACAACTCCATTTCCAGCTTTTTGGTGGTTAGCTGAAGACAATCACATGGGTTTTCCTGCCCAGTTGGCTCTGAACTGTGATCCTCAGATCTCAGCCTCTTGAGTACCTAGGATTATAGGCTTGAAACACCATATTCAGCAAACAACAAATTTTTGACTTGTTTCTGTGGTTAAGAAATTTGAGTGTGGTTTTGCTGGGTGGTTATCTCAGAGGCTCTCATGAGGTTGGGGTAAAGATATTAGTTGGGACTATAGTCATCTAAAATGTCCTTTGGACTGAAGGATTTGCTTCAAAGATGGCTCCTTCAGGTGGCACTTGGCAGAAGCCTTCTGCTCCTTACCCTAGAACCTCTACACTGAGCTGTTTGGATGGCTTTACAATATCGCAGCTAAACAGAAAGGGACTTGCTCTCCAAAGTGAGTGATCCAAGAGACAGCTGGGGGAAGCAATGACTTTTACTACCAGGACTTGGAAGAAGCACATATTAGTTCTGCTTGTTAGATGGAGTCACTAGATTCTCTGTACTAAGGAGCGCAAAGTTCCATGTCTGAAAAACAAAAAACTTCTCAAAGAATGTGGATAAAAACCACCACAGAGGGCTGGGAAGGTGGCTCAGTGGTAGAGCACTTGCCTTGCATGCTCGAGGCCCTGGGGTCGATTCCTCAGCACCACATAAGAAAAAAGCCGGAAGTGG